ACAAGCATGCACGTAATTAATTAAATGCGTGTATGTAAAGTTACAAGCATGCACGTAATTAATTAAATGCGTGTATGTAATTCCAACCAATCAGACAAAGTCTTACAAATAATTAAACGCGTGTATGTAAAGTTACAAGCATGCACGTAATTCCAACCAATCAGACTCAGCGTGTGGAAAAGCCCCCGAACGATGGCGGCATCGTCTAGTGGACGCTAATATCGATGTATAACTTCATAATTCGTATCCAGATCGACATGACGCTTACTATTTCAAATTAAAAGTATCAGATCATTATTTGGAAATCATATTTGGGCCGACAGCTAGCTGACACAGACCCTTCATGATGTGAGGATGATAGCCAACATATAGTCGTAACTCAACTGCGTAAGTACTAAAGTAGCCTGACTTGTACTGACAAGTTCTACTTGTTGTACTGTACTCTGTAGGCTAGCGCTGTCGGCATGGTTACAGGCCTGACAAAAACTGCACTATTTCAGTAGCGCCTAGGCCCCATTCGATTTTGTGCAGTACAGTTCCTGTCCAGCAACTTGTCTTATTTTTTAGCGTTGCTGCAATGACTGAATGAGCATATGTCATGATATATCGGCGAGGCCATGGCCCTGCAGTCACTGAATCTTTAGTCCGTTAGGGGAGCGAAGATTCATCGATAGTAGGCCTACCCGTTAATAAACTTGTACGTTGTAGGCGACATGGTTCGATTAGGCATTAAAATATTTGGTGTGCAAAAATTTCGATACGATTATCGATTTAAAACTTACGAACTATCCCAGCCCCACCATTAGTATAATAGCAGGAGTAAGATAATATAGGATCTATATTATCTTACTCCTGATAATAGTACAAGCTAGGTTTCTGGTTAGCGTTTAAAAAACATCACCTGTCTCAATTTCGATGATTCAGGGACTGGGGCGGCCTGGGCTGAGCGGGGGGGGGGGAGGTTCTGTGATAGGGGTTCTGTACAAGGGTTGTGCACGGATTCAAACTCGCCAACGCCACCTGTTCTGCACAATATTGCACTTACGATGTATTTACTTTTCATTCTTGTATCGAGTGTCTCTGGAATCTGGAGAGGGATATGCCATGGATGGCACGGATTCTCAGTCAATACGTGATTTTTTGGGAACTATTCGCCACATAGTGGCTGACGTAATACGGTCCCATACGCAGCAAACAATGACACCCCAGCAAGCTGTCCAACGAATGCGGGAGTGTACAAGAAACCTCGCAAGAATAGACAGCCTCGTCATCGAAAGAGATCAGATGCAAGCACTCCTAAACGAATGCAACGTAAGTCGACGTCCTGTTGTTATTATTGCATATTATCGGCAGATAATATGCCTGTCATTAATATTGATAAGAACCACTTATTCATATCATACCATATAGAGTGGCCTTAATCACCCCATCAAAAGACAAAATGTTGGAAAGCTATAAGCATATAGACTATAGGTAAAAACCTAAAAGGTGAACACTTTTAAATGTTTTAATGTTTAGTACAGTGCTATACCGCTTGTGCCAAGCATTTGTGTAGATCTATGCTAATCCAATTTCCAAGGCCGATGAAACTTTAGGCTAGCAATAGATACAATTAGGTGCCCATTTCAAGTAAGTATTTCGTTGTTTGTACACGGCACCAGCGCCCTAGATGCCCGTACCCGACTTTCTATCATAAATATAAAAATAAAATATTGATGTCTTCATTTCGTAGCATAGAGCCCAACAGTTATTAATATATCAAAGACTCAATATCTTATTATGAAGGGAAGTCAGAGAAGCACATTAATATAGTATAATGAAACTTTCAATACATGTATTGCTCCAAAGAGCGACCGGATAAATCCGATTCTCAGTTACTACAAAAACGTATTTCCCATGAGGACTACATTTTCATAGCAATGCAGAATCAGTTTGCTGCCCAGAATAAAATGAGACATTAATCAAAAGTTTAATTGTTTTTCATATATTAGAACTTTTCACAATACTATACTCTATCTTTTGTAGTTATTTATTGATCATCTCGAGCGTGCTACCCCTGTGGCTGAACGTCTAGAGTATCAAGCGGCAAAAGAAAGGGCAGCTTCAGGTCACGAACGGTTTAGCATTACTGAGCAGCAGCTCAAATCCCTCAACGAGCTTGGATTGAAAGGGACTGAAATTGCTGGACTGCTTGGCGTGTCATATCCAACTTTGAAGAGAAGATTTAGGTATGTAGGTCATTATATTTATTGAGTAAAGTTGTAGTGTTTTATGACTGTCAGAGTATTTATTATTTTTATATCATTTATTTCCGAAAAAGATTTTATATTACACATTGACATAATTGCAACACCGGGTAATTGCTTGAACTTTACACAGATGATAAATTATAGAAATGCAGACATATAGCATTTGCATATATTTCAAATTTCAACTTTTTCTGCTGTTTTTAAACATACTCGGTTGTGCCATATATAAATTTTCCCCCAAATTGTGTTGTTTACACACCACCCATTATTTGAACATACAGTACATGTACAAGAGTGCTGATGATCAGATTTATTACAATACAAATTTTATTTTCAATGCTATATCATAAAACTATATGGTCCATGTAATGTTACACTTTAAACAAAACAAAATATGTTCCCATATGTCGATAACTCTACACATTCAACTAACATATGCCCTGTTGACTCTAGACTATTACAGTATAAAACATTGAGCATATATGTATTAATATCCCATTTAGATATCAATTTACCACACGGTAAAATGTACTGAATTTTAAAATTGACTTCAGCTAACTTTTTATGCTTTATATCAACAACATTTCTTCTGTAAATTTTTCTCAAACCCAAATTATTTATTTCCATTATAAACCGTTTTCCCACCCATTTTCTATATAAAGTTTAATACATTAGTTATTTCTTAGTATTACATAAAACGGTTCGACTTTTACTGAGTAATACTGGATTTGTGATTTTGGTAATATGGAATAACTTCATCTTTTACATTGACTGTCGGAGTAGTTGCTTCAATGTATCTGAAAGATAGCTGCATATATCTGAAAAAAGTAACGTCTTATATGTACCCTTATGGCTTATCTCTTAGTTTTAGGATTGAACTAATCAGACTTTACCCGTTATCAGCACGGCAAGCTTTAACATTAATGTTTTCTGCTTAGGGTAATATATTTCTTTCTGTACATTGTTTTTCACAGAGACTTTGGAATGAGCATCCGTCAGCGCTACTCAACGCTGGATGATGCCTCACTTGATGTCAAATTAAAAACTCTGACAACTGGCAACATGAATATCGGTTATCGTGGGGCAAGATCACAACTGGACTCTATTGGTATACTGTTGCCGTACGAGCGAGTTCGAAGAGCAATGATAAGAATTAATCCTGCTGCTGTAGCCCTTCGCTGGGGTAACACTGTGCAGAGGCGATCGTACAACGTTCCTTCACCAAATGCTTTGTGGCACATTGATGGAAACCACAAACTAATCAGGTATGAACTTTTCTGAACCTTAAATAGGTTGGGACATTTTACAGCATTCTGATGCTAGTTGTTACAAGGCACTGATCCGGCAATAACCCATAGGGGGACCTGATAAAGACACATCGTGTCAGATAAAACACTCGAGGGCCAGAAATACTATCACTACCCCCACCCCTAACCATTCACTCCAATTTAATAAGAGCCTATGAAATATTTGAAGCCTATAACCCCTCCCTCACGCCTTTTTTTAGCTCATCTGACATAGTCGGATGCAGCTTGTAGAATCGCATGTTCGTGCGTGCGTGCGTGCGTGCGTGCGTGCGTGCGTCCATCCGTCAACAGTTAGGCACAAATCTAAGCGGCTCGATGTAAGGTCACGATATTCGGGACGTGGGGGGGGGGTAATCCGAAAACGAGTTGGAATGTCGAAGGTGAGGGTCAAAGGTCAAAGGTCAAGAGGTGTAAAAGAAGGGGGAACATTCCCTCCTTAACTTAAGGTATAGGGAGGAAATGCAGAATTGCGGCACAAATCTAAACGGCTCGACCTAGGCTCGTGATAGTCGGTGTATAGCATCATGGTAGGAAAAGCCATCACTGTGCCGAAATTGGAGGTCACAGGTCAAAGGTCAATGGGGCACATGGCAGATTTTAGACATTTTCTGAGGACATGGTCTGATGGAGCGATTGAAAAACTTTTTTGTTTCAGCAGTGACCTACCATTTTTATGGCTTTATTGAAAGGACCATGAAATGTACTTTCCGCTGACATGCGAAGAGCAAGTGTCGGATAACCTTTTGACCCTCAAGAGGAGGGTTAAACATGGATTTGTTGACTGTTAACAAAGGACTGAACTGTGTTTGATGGTACTTGTGTGATCGTGGAAGACTTAAATTTCACAGTAAAATTCTGCATGCAAAACTTACTTGAACAACGTTTACGCGCCTTAAATCATATATGAACTTCATTCTCTATATGAGATTCTGTACGTTGGGAATACAATGTCAATAGCACTTACGCAAACGTCTGTTTTTGATTAAGGCCAACTATAAATAGTACTACCTCGCAGGTGGGTGGCTGATAGCATGGCTGATAGTATCACAGCATGGGCTAAACGTAGACTGGTACTCGCTCCCACCTCGATTACGCGCCCCATCGAGTAACTAAGCCGAGAGGTGGGACCAGGTACTAGTCTACGTAATACGATGCCGTATGCATGCCATCTATCGGAATAGAGTGAGAAGAATGTCCCGGCAGGATAGGTCAAATGTATATTGCGCTCAAAAGTGCAGAAAGAATTACTTTCTTAACTTCAGTTTATTAAATCTTGAGATAAGTAATTTCAGCATTGAATCGTCAAACCTACCAATGAAAGGTTGGCCAACTACCAAAATTTGCCAGTTTTGTACTGTCCTTGGCATGGCTCTCTCCGTCGACGTTACAGTAGTGTGCAATGTCGGGATATGGTGGAGCATGCTGGCTTGTGGACGCTGCAGAGCCCGATGGTTGACTGTCAGTCGAAATGTGTTGATCCACCCCGACATTGAAGAAATCTGTACGTTATACGTGCGTCTGCCTTACCTCTGCCCGCCATCTTCGTCGAAAGTTTGGACGCCGCGCGGCGAAATCGGAATGTACATTTCAATCGATGACGTAACTGATACAGTAGCGCGCCGCATGGGTGTTATGCGTTTATAAACAATTTAGTCTGACTGACTCTCTCCCTCTCTCTCCTCTCTCTCTCTCTCTCTCTCTCGCTCTTCTCTCTCTCTGCAATAATAAATGTTTGCTGAAAAAGATAGGCAACTGCGTATCTGCATATCTGCGCCTAACAAAGGTGTCACTACGCATAACTGAAATGTTACATTTATAACGGTAGCAACAGACCTCAGATGAGCCCAGACGCTCTGCGGCTCTTGTTTCACTGTACAATTGAAAGATACAGATGCTGTGAGATGCGGAAAATATAGTGTTGAAGATCATTAGAGAGTGGTGTTTATGCAATTTATGCATTTTCACTGTTCGCTGACGAGGACCATTCAATTCATTTTTAGCTCATCTGACGAAGTCAGGTGCAGCTTGTAGAATCGCATGAATGTCCGTCCGTGCGTGCGTGCCTGCGTCCGTCAACAGTTGCGGCACAAATCTTAACCGCTCTACGTACGGTCTTGATATTCGGGACGTAGGGGGGGGATCGCGAAAAGAACTCGGCATGTCGGAGGTCAAGAGTCAAAGGTCAAGATGTGTAAATAGAGGGGGAATATTTCCCCCTTAACTTGAGGTATAGGAGTAAATACGGAATTGCGGCACAAATCTCAACGGCTTGACCGACGCTCTCGCTATGCGGTGTATAGAGTGATGGGGAGGAAACCCATCACCAGCGCGAAATTAGAGCTCGCAGGTCAAAGGGCAGTGGGGAAAGGTCAGATATCAGACATTTTCTGATGACATGGTCTAACGGACGGAGTGCAAAACTTTCTTCTTTCAGCGGTGACCTACCATTTTTAATTAATTAGTCACAGGTGGCAATACACTCAGTGTTTCACAAATATTGTGTTGCACAAGTGGTGGTCGGCAACCCGATTTCCAATAGCGCCATCTATTGGTTGCTTTAACAAACGTAATATAGTGTGATGCATGTGTTTACATATTCACACATTGGGAGCGATGTGTGTCTGTGTGTGGGTGCGTGTGGTTTTTTTCTATGTCTGTGTGTGTGTGTGTGCACGCGTGCGCCTGTGACTGTGTGTGTGTACGCGCACGTGCCTGTGTGTGTTTATGATCTAAGTAGACGTCAGATGAGCGCTGTCACTCTGCGGCACTTGTTTCGCCTTTTGTCACATTTTATTCTTAGCCTCTTTACTTGTCCCATAAACAGATGGCGGTTCATCGTCCATGGAGGAATTGATGGATACAGCCGGCTAATTACCTACCTAAAGGTGGCTACCAACAACAAGGCCGAAACTGTGTATGCTGCTTTTCTCAATGCTGTCGAACAATATGGGCTGCCATCCAGGGTAAGAATGGACGAAGGGGTGGAGAATGGCCATGTAGCCCGATGTATGGTACAGCACAGAGGAGCAAACCGAGGGAGTGCCATGATTGGTACCAGCGTGCACAACCAACGCATCGAGAGACTCTGGGTGGATGTTTTTCAAGGATGCTTGTCAACATTTTACCAATTGTTTACGTATCTTGAAGAACAGCACCTACTTGATTGTGACAATGAACTGCACTTACTGGGCCTGCACTTAGCATATTTACCAGTAATCCTGAAGAAATTAGACGAGTTTAAGGAGCAGCACAACAGGCACCCAATCCAGAGCGCCAACCATCGTTCCCCATATAGGCTGTTTGCGAGTGGTATACTGAGGAATGCAAACAGCCGGACAACAGCGATAAATAGCATCACAATGTCTGCAGAACAGCGGTACATAATCGACCTTGGTACTCCGATACCAGAATTGCAGCGTTTGGCAGCCGTGGTTAATGTGCCTTCACATCCCTTCTCCGTGGAACAGGTTCAAGAAATACAGAGAGATCTAGCTCTTGCCCCAAGTGCAAATGATGCTTTGGGTATCGATTCTTACTTGCGTGTGGTAGAACACCTGAGCAGGAATCTGGGCAATACAATTTAGATTACTGTCAGACCCTACTTTTCGTTGGAAGGTTGAAGGTTTGCACAGTTTGATCAAATCAGCTTGCCGTTGCTGCTTAAGTATGACTGCTTGAAGCTGCTGTTACTGGTTATATCTTTTGGTTCAGATGGTGTGTTTGTCAAATTGACTTGAAATTATTAGATTATCCATTATACACAAATATTATAAGTTTGATGTCTGGGAAATAAATAGAAAATATAGCATTTTACAAATTTGAAGATTGAAATTCTATAGTTTGAAAAAAGTCCTTTCATTCAGATTACAGAAGTTGGAGTATTTACAGGCACCAATCTAAACTGCGAAATCAGCAGCACATCTATTCATAAATGAAGTGTACTGTCAGCCTATGGACCTTGTGTGTATCAGAAATACAGATCGTGGCCTAGTGGTCAAGACCTTGAAAACTCGCGACAAGATTGGTTGCATATTGACTGACTTATGACCTATCTTTTTAGAGGAACGCAGTTATTCCTATGGACTGGCGCAGTACAGTTGTACACAAAGTTGTGCAGTTGACATTAGCAGGAACTTGCTAAGTCCAATCCACAGGCAAATCCCTTCTTAATGCTGAGATATATGCCCCAGAAAAGTAACATGATAACTATGATATAAACATTCATCATCACGAGCATGTAAAAACCAGTTTGCACACCCTTATACCTGAGACAACTTTGGCAAGGTATGGCAGTAAGGCACCGTGTAAAAATATACAAAACTATATTTCTTTATACAAACACAAAAGAGGATTACTCAGAAACGCATGTGGCAAAATGAACACGCATACTTTGCGTCCAACAAACATTTTTCCTGAAAAACTCGCGGATTAATTCTAGCGCATGCTTTACAAACGCACGATATTCGAGGAGACATGCTAGTTGTAATAGTAGGCTGTCGCCAGGAAAAAACAACTCTGGTTCTTTACTAATGTTATGTACCACCGCACAAAATCTTAGCACCAGTTTAAAGTGGCTCAACCTCGCGTCAAAATCATCAGAAAATTATTAGATATACCTACTATCAGCTCGTCTATGTTTGGAAAATACATTTAAACTAATTTGTGCTACTGCTTTCATTAAATTTTTTCAGAAAATCTTAACAGTCTTGAGAAAGTAGCACCACGGCAAAAACGGTAAATTTAAGCTGTGCTAAGATTAGCTGCGTTGGTGTACCTGGTGATTTATCTGTTGACAATTGTGGTGCCTTTTTCACCCAGAACAGGGCATGAATATGTGACCACCTACGTTGTTGGAATTCTATCCGGTAAAAGTAATCAACCACCTGACAGAGGGGGTGTGCAGGTGATAGGATCAGTTCTGTTATCAGGTGATGGGCCATTTTGTTAAACAGCAGCTGCTACCACAGGATTGCTGTTAATGATTTTGCAGTGTTCTGATCAGTCCATGTTTACAGGTGCCTCTTTACGTTGTACTTTGAGAATAGCAGAAGCTCTCTCCGGCCAGCGACGATCTGCTGAAGAAAAACTTGCAAACCATGTTGGGATTCCCAGCTACTTCACCATAGCACAGAGATCCCTCAAAATTTTCTCCCAGTAAGGTGCTGATCCTTTGACCTTTGTTAGGAACTTATATCCTTCATTTTGGTGAACCATCTGGCGGAATGAGGCAGCACTTGTCAGTTGACCGACAGTCACATCACTCTGATAACCAGATCCCTTCCTCAGACTTATACGGGCTGATGACAACACATTGTTGAATTCCTTCAGATATTGCAGGTAGAAGAGATACTCCCGATTCATGGCATATTTGTTGTCAGCAGAGAAGAAGCGACTCTTGATTTATTGGCTGAGGGTGGGTTTCACTGGGCGTGTGTCAGCATAGGTTTGCTTGCCTTCTGGAAACAGCAGAGGGAAGGCTTGACACTCCTTGTCTTATATTGACTGAGGGCAATTCTGTTCTGCGGGGGCCACACAGAAGATATTATCTTCCTGGGTGTCGCTGATGTATTGTGACAGGTCAGTGGGTTGGAGGCAGGTGACCAGTGGAGCTGAGGTGTCGCTCACCTCATCTTCATCAACAGCATCGCCTTGATTTTCTTGGCTTTTACTTGGAGTAGTGTGTGGGCTGCTGACATCGGTCGATTCTATTCCCCCTTCTGATTGAGTTGGTGGCAGCTTTGACTCTGTTATAAGAGCAGCAGAATCATCTTGACAGGAGATATCAAGCGTATGATCCCTTGGAATGTCTGCAAATGAAGGGTGTTGTTGCTGCAGGAAGCGGAATGCATCAGCTACAAGGTGTACGGACCTGTTGGTAAAGGTGGTGACCGCGGTACTGTAGCTTTATCTTCAACTTAACTTTCAAAAGTCCATTATTATCAATAGAACGTGGTAACTTGGAGACAGTGTCGGGTACGTTGGATGCCACACACACTACAGGTCCATGCATTCCCCTCTGTGTTCCTTTTGGCAGACATATAATTTTCATGAAGGGAATCACAGGTGTCAAAAGAAACTGCTCAAGTGTGTTGAGGTCCTTTAGCTCTACCGGCATACTGATTGATTTCAGATTATTCCCTTTGGTGGATAACGGTGGTAATTTCCCTTTGGTCAGAGACTTATGACATGCTAAACATATCCAATGATCCTCCTTCTCATCACTATCCGTTTTAAAGATAGTAACAACACCTAGCTACAATGGCGAATACTGACAAGTGGGAACTTCGGTGTGAGCCATAAAATAAAGAGTAAAGACAAAAAAATGCTAATGATAAACAATAGATTATGACACTAAAACGAGAATAGACCCTCCAAACCCGTTTATCGGTTGTGGCCTTAACCACACAACTGACCGAGATATGATTCACAACATGGTCATAACAAAAGATTTATCGTTGGAAAGAGTGGACCTGAACTCCCGTTTTAAATCCTGCACACATGTGTTTGTAGTTGGGAGCTCCAATACATCGGAGCAGGTATGGGCGATCGGTCGTCTCGCCAAGCCAACTAAAGGTGTAAACGTTCCAGTGATATTCTGCGGCATGACTTTACTAGCTGTAATAAACATCAGTAGGTCAGCCAAGTCGTCCTGGTGCAGTGATGAAATTTACACTTTGAAGAAGTACATAGCTCTCTCTTCATCCTGTGTGAGATGATCCCCTCCACCGTGAGAACCTTAGACACTTTCTCGGGAGTGGGCAACTGCGCGGAACAAAGCCTCAACACTGTCCAACGTCAGTGTGTTCCAAAAGGCCTCGACATGGCTCTGTGGAATGCTTTTTTTAGACCTAAAATGAAAGGCAATGACTTGTCCACAAGAACGACTTGGGCGAGTGCAATGAGCTGTTCCTTCAAAATAGCACACGACGGTAACTCGTGAAGTCCATACGCTGAAAATATATCCAGCAGTCCATCTTGTTCGGTCCTCCCAAGTTGTCCGGGAGTTGATAGCACCAGCTTCACTAAAGTTCTTTGGGTAATTGTGAGAAAGAGTAGAAAATCCTCAAAAACCACTTCATCCGATACGGCATCTTCATCGAACGCGATCATCATAATTGTGCATCTACTATTGCGAGGTGGGATCATTTTAAGTAGCGCTGCTGTGTGTGTCAACAGCCTTCCAATGACAGTGAAGTTACCTCTTTCCTTCCGCATTCGGCTGAGAGGAAGAGCAGGTACACAGGCGTTTTCTCCAACAAAATACTCTTGTAGTATGTTAACCCAAACAGTGGACAGGAGATCTTTTGTGAGGCCCCGAAGTCATCTCCCTTCTCACCGAGTAAATTCACATGCAGTCGCTTCTCCAATACGGCACTATCGGCGTAAATTTGGAAAATGTCCCCCAGCAAACGTTTCCTCTCAACAAAGATTTCCTCCTCATCCAGGCTCAGAAGATTTGCTAAATCGCTGAGAGCTGGAATAAACGTTGTTGAGTCTATTTAGTCATATTCTTCAAGGTAATGAGTAGCGAATATATAAGTTACACAACATTTATATTACACTCCACTGGGTAAAATATTTTCAAATAAATTATTACAAATGCGAACAGCAATAGTGCATTTGCTGTCAAAAGCCAACAGTAGGTGTTGTACCCATTCCAGTAACCTTTAGGAAACTTTGAGAACCCATTAAAAACAACTAATCAATCCATGTGTTCCCACACAAGACAGTAAATATTACAAACCATTTAACCAATCGGGTGTCAGGTTGGACGCTGGCTGAGTCCTCGGCGTGGTGTTGGATGCTGGATCAGTCACAGGCGTGGTGTTGGATGCTGGCTCAGTCACAGGCGTGGTGTTGGATGCTGGATCAGTCACAGGCGTGGTGTTGGATGCTGGCTCAGTCACAGGCGTGGTGTTGGATGCTGGCTGAGTCACCGGCATGATGTTGGAGGCTGGCTCAGTCACAGGCATGGTGTTGGATGCTGGATCCATCATAGCCGCTCTTAGAAGTACCTTAGTGGATAGTAATACGTATTGAGCATGCAATATGGGTGGCATAATTTCGTTCCCTATTCCATTTCACCATATATGCTTTTAATAAAGCTTGTGCTATATGTATGCTCGATAGACTAGTTAACGATATATCGTGTCCTAAATGAAAGAAATAGTACGGATATAGTATTTTTGAAAGCTGTCAAACTCACAGTTTGATGTTTCGATCTTTTAATGTTTCAACGAAAAAATGCTCTGCTCTAAAAAAAATTAATTAATCTCTGTTAATTAATTCAAAAAGAATATGAAGACGCTGAGCACTCTTTGTTCAGCATTTTACCAAATTTTCTATGACTATGATCTTTTATCTTCCTATCGTTTTATCTCACTGTTTTATCCATTCTAATTATATGTGCAGTGCTTTGAAAATGATTTTACATTGTAAGCACTTTAATAAAATAAATTATTATTATTATTATTATTAATCACCTAGTATAGATGTGGTTCTATGTCTGTATCTGTGCCACAGACTGAAATATTTCACATTATCAAAATTGAGATATCAATATCATTCGAACAGCAGTGACTTCATGACATCAACTTGAACTTCACGATGTCAGAATAACAATGTCTTGACAGGATTGCGGTAAAGAGTAGTTTGTCACTTTTGGATCCATAATAGGCCTACAGCTAACCTTATTGTTTACATACCTGCTGATCCAGCAGCTGATCCACTGTTATTCCCGGGATACGAAACAGTATCTACAATAAAATTGGAAACTGGTCAGTATAATTCACACAGTACATGTACGTAAGAGAGAGACGCGTAACGTGAGACGTTACGCGAACAGGACAATGTTAAAATAGTGGAAGATATTTTGTATATCTGGACAGTTTAGTGAAATCCTGAGACGCCCATTGGCATTGATGAGACACTAACAGCAAGTTTTCAAGTAATTTGTAATGGCGGGACCCCATTGGAACTATGATGCACCAAAGATAAAGCTTATGCTGAGAGCCCAGTGAAATTTCTGCCCTGGAGAGTCCTGAGAGCCGTCCAAGACACAACCTGTCCAAGTCAAGTCCAGGGTTCTCCCTACATTGCGCAAACGGGGCGCGCGCGCCCCGTTTGGAAAACTCCCCCCTGTTTGAATCGTTGCGCCCCGTTTGGGAAAACTCCCCCCTGTTTTGCAGTCGTGCTCGATGGCCGTCAGAAAGTGATGCG